AGTTAATAATAATTGACTTTTTCTATATTGTTTTTCTAGGGTAGAAAGTAGAGACCGGACAGGTAAAGACGTAAACTCAAGAGCGTTAAACTTCAATTGGGTGATTCATTTGAAGGTTTGAAGGATAATTATCATGTGATATAAGTTGACATTCCGGGCAATAATCACTGCCATAATTAGAGAAAAGAATACCAAACAAACTCTGAAATTGGGTGATTCACACCCAAACAAAATACATATCATTAGCCTTTATGAGACTCTCTCCCTCTCTTTCTCCCTCACTCTCTCTTTCAAGAGGTTAAACTTAAAGAAAGACTGGAAAATGTTCGTGTTAACAGAAAAGTGTTAGAGTAGAATATCCGGTGTTCCAATCTGATTGGATCTTTTTCTACTTGTAAAAACAACTAGTACAGAGCCCGTGCGATGCACGGGGTGCACAATTTTAAGGTCATTTATCCATTCTTATAATTATATAAATGAATAAAAAAATGTACTGGATATATATAGTACGTGACCTGTAATAGGCCAAAATGTGAACACGGGTGATGCACGGGGTGCACATACTCCATGCGATGCACGTGATACATATAATAAATCAATTATTTTTATAGGACTTGTAAGTCTAGACAAAAAAAAAAAAAAACAATAGGTTTGGATCATCCATATTTCACATCTTTTAATAAGTGGCGTTTATTTAAGCCAAAAAATTAACATGTTAATTAATATATAATTCCGCTAACACGTCATACTAATATTTATTTGATTTTAGAATACATATTTATTCATTTATATAGGAAAAATAAAAATTTTATTAATTATTGTTCACCATATAATACTCAATTATTATTTTATTATAAAATTTACAGTCATATAATGTAATTATTATTATTTATAAAAGTTTTAGAAGTAGTCTTCTTTATGTAATGAAATTCAAAATAAAACTTTGAGTATAAATATTTACAAAATACACACACATATTTTTTAGAATTCAATTTTCTCATAATAATTCTTTTTTTTTTTTTAAAAAATGATTTAGCAATTGCCAAAAAATAAATCCCTTACATAACCAAGAGATTTTTTCTAATTTCATCCTAAGGCTTTATAGTTTATTTAACATACTATGCAATAGAAAAATATTTTACAATAAGTTCATATTTGAAACATAACAAAAAAAAAGTGATAAAAACACTATCATAGTTGACAATAATATACAAATAAATAACATGTCAAAATTTTAATGAATAACTATAATTTTATTATCTAACCGTCAATAAAATCATTTAATGATGTGATCATTATCTTTTAAATAATAAATAATATTAATTTTTTTAAAAAAATATTAGTGTTATATAATTAAATAAAGATTAAAAAATATTACTCGACAAATATTAATTATAATGGATATCAGTAAAATCATTGCACAAATTATTTAAGGAAAAAATCTTTAAGATCATATTTGGATAGTAAATGTAAATATGCAAGCATTTAATGCATATAGTAAAAAATTTCCAAATAAAGTATGCATTACATGTATGTTGACTTTTCTTGCTACTGTTTTTGGTAAATAGGTTGGCTTTTAATATATATATAGATTTATTGGAATTTATACTATTTTGAGGCATTTCTTTATCTTATATCTTTGCATTTATCACATATTTGCACACATGATAAAGTCCTTAGATCATTATTAGTTATGAGACATAATTGCGCATTTGATGGCAATCATGAAACATGTCTTTAAAGTTGTGATCTTAATTAAGTTCCAAGTCGATGGGTTTTTCGAGACAGGACATTGAACAATCTTGTCTCGAAAAACCCGGTAAGACTTGTGCATATGACGCATTCTCGTCGGACGAGGATGTTGCATTCCATCAACATTAGCGTGTGGACGCAAATGCATATATGCGGGTGCTTGTTGGGGAACAAGTTCACTGAACATGGCCCAATGAAAATTCTTAACTAGAAGTTTTTAACTGTCGAATAAAAATCTTCATGTTGCAATAGTACATGATTGATCCTCTGACTTGAGGCACGATAGTAATCTTGTGCATGTTGTGCTTTACTTTGATTTATCCTTTGATTGCTGGACAATCATAATAGAGATATTTAGGGATGTTATGCGTTGATTATGCTGGTGTCGCCCAACGGCCAAGCAGAGAAGGACCATCCGGACAACCCCCACTAGGGGTGGGGGGTTTTGCTGGAACTGAAAGGGCGCCCTTTGAGCGCTCTTCCGATGCCGGAGTGGGAGTGGTGCGCCGCGGGATGGCGGAGGGGCGCCATCGGAAATCTGGAATCCGAAAACACAGAGCACCTGAGCAGGGAGGCATGGAGCCATGGAGGGGAAGTTGGATCGAAGAAAATTTGTGTTTGTATTTGGTTTTGTCGTGAAATTTTTTTTAAAGGCAAATTGGGCCCTCTCCGAAACGGGATCTTGGTTTCGCCACTGGCCGGAGATGGTTTCGACACGGTGGTTAGGGCAAAGGCGGCCGTGGATCGCGACCCGAGGTGTCGGAATCGGGTTTCGTGTGTCGATATATTAGCATTGGCCACTAGGGATGTTGTCAACATGTTAAACAAATATATGAAACATTCAAAAAGAGAAAATTGCAGTTTTGTTTCACTAACTTGGGGTGTTTTTTTTTTTTCATTTTTGTTCAGTAAATTACTGGGGTCTAAAATTGGTCCAATAACTCTTCAAATTTTGCCAACTTGGTCCAATTTTTATCCCGAACGCCGGAAATTGACAGTTATTTGGTCTGAAATCTATACTTACATAAAGAGCCATCCTATTTAATAAAATTAATAGCAAAAAAATAGGTCAGCATTTAATGTAGCCCATAAATAGTAGTTTTATTATTATTTTTCTTTAAAAATCATACAATTTAATTTATAAATACGCTTTAATATAATCATACAATTTAATCATACAATTTAATTTATAAAATCATACAATTTAGTATTTTTATTTAAAAATATGTTTTAACACACACAAACACACATACATATATATATATTACCTTTTTTAATAAATTTGAATAAAATGTGTTACTTAAATATCTAAACAAATTAAAAATTCAAATGATTAAATTAATTGATAAAAAATTTATAAATCTCTATTTTATTTAAATATGTAACTTTATTTTAAATAAATTTAAATATAGCAAAATTTATTTAGAAAATCGTCTCGATCCTACCAGCTTAACCGACTGGTGTTGACGGATTCAATAGCAAGTATTTTATTCAAGTGAACTAGACTGATTATAAATCGGTTCTCGGTCCATCCGGTCGGACTGTGTCCAACACTGTTTAATTTAAAAACGATGGGTAAACCTTGATTAATTTATTTGTATATTTAATTTACAACACAATCGTAATATTGTTTTCCCGTGCATCGCACGAGCCACGCACTTGTTAGTCCAATAACCATTAAATTCAAGCCAATTTGGTCTAGTCAACTTGGTCCAATTTTTATCCCGAAAGTTGGAATCCGACAGTCAATTGATCCGAAGTCAGTCCAATAAATCTTAAATTTTTGCAAATTTGGTCCAATTTTTATCTCAAACGCCGAAATCTGACAATTATTTGGTCTGAAATCGTTCCAATAACTCTTAAAAATTTAGTCAATTTGATTAGACCAAATTAATTAAAGTTTAATAGTTATTGAAATAATTGCGAACCTCAATAAATTACTGAACAAAAATGGAAAACAAAGAGTGTATTCTATTCGGATTTCCGGTGACATTTTAAGACTTTTTAAGATCTTAACAAATCATATTCTCAAATAAGTTAAATCAATATTTTAAATCCCAGTATGTACTGGCCGGTAATACTAGGTATCGGTGGTCCAACATGTACAATTACCCCCTAGATATCGTTTTGGTCAAAATACCGGATTATACCGGCTTCATACTGGAAAATGCCGATTTTATCGTACAATACCGGCTGAAATACCGATTAAAATACCAGATCTAAAAAAATAAAAATAAAAAATTCATAACATATTTTTATTAATTTATTTATATAAATAGAAATTTCTACATTTAAATTCAATATATTTACATTGTTATTATCTGATTTTAGTTAATTTTAATATTTATTATAGTTAGTTTTATACATTATGCATCTTTGTGTTGCAGAAAAACCTTATTATCACTACCTACAACATCAGAAAACAGAAAGCAATAAACACAAAGGAACTAGAACTACCTTGAATTGTTAATTCTAGGACCAGACGAGCGAGGCGCAGATGACCGGAAAGCCTGGCCGCCAACTCTGCCGCCACTCTTGGCGGCGGCTGCTGGATCAACCGAACCCAGTGCCAACACCCCAGCTGCCACCGCAACTAAAGCCACCTTCGCTAAACGATTTCCATTTTTTCTGCCATTCATCAGCTCCACAAAATCAAGAACTTCCCCCAAAAAAAGAAAACATTAAGACAGCACAAATTGATCACAAAAATTGCACCCGAGACTAAATTAGTGCTACCTTGATGATGATGATGAATCACTATCGACTTCATCTGGGCTGTGCCTGCAAGATATGAAATGGGGTTTTACTGGAACCGGAAAGGTTCTTGCTTGCGGTTTGAGAGTAGATGTAACTACTGGGTTCGAGAGAAAGCTAATCTCAAACAAAGCAACTGACATTTTGAGGCCAATTTTCCTTGAATTGGGCAAAATTTTCAAGTTTTTTTGGTTTGATAGTGGTGGAAGTGTAAACAGAGTTGATATTTTGAGGTTCTTGGAATGGATGGTGCTAATCTAATTGATGGTGGAGGAGGATGACACGTGTGCACACGAGAGTGGATGGAATTGAAAATTTTTGTTTGTGACTTGGGAATAGAATATTGTGGAATCCTACTTGTCAATAAATAAAACTAGTACAAAATACCCGTGTATTACACGGTTGTTTGTTAAAAAATAATTCATAAAATTTTAAAATTAATGAGAAATTTATCTTATATTTTATTTACTTTTTCACAAAAGTATATATTATTATATAATTTAGAATGACACGTGTTACTTTTACGACTTACATATGTGTTATTGTAGTAATTTTTATAACTTATACTTTCTCCTATTTTTTTTTAATGTCATTCTAGTTTTTTCAACTATTTGCCAAATAAATATTATTTTGGATATTTTGTACATATTTTTCCATTATTACCCTCATTTAGCCAATAAATACATTACGTCTTTCATATTCAATCTTCACTTTTTCTCAAAACATTGTTCGCAAAATAATTTTACTACCCGCAAGTGTACGGAGTAGCTGCAGAAAGCGGCGAGCAAGGTCGTATTCCACAGAGACTGCTGTAAAACTAATTAAGTACCAAAATATAGACGACTAAATATTATCTAGACAAATGCAAATTTGATTGGAGTTTTTATTCTAAACTAATGAATGAATGCAAAAATAAATTCTAACACTAATGAAGGCTTATTCTAAGTAAATCAAGTATGAGAAAATAGATTCTAGGCTATGCTTTCCTCGGGATTATTCTAGCAAAGTTTTCTTATTCATTCAAACCTTATTTAATTCTACCAATCGTAGGGATAATCGCTAAAGTGATTTCAACCTTTCTCTCGAACAAGCAAATCGTAGATATTAATTGCTATCTATCTCCTCTCGGTCTCAAGATGAACAACTAACTCCCATAAGCTCCTAAGATTCTAGTTCCCTCGCAAGATCCTATCAACCTCTCGGTCTGTTTAGACTCTTACGTTATGAATTTCCCAATTCTAGCAATCAATTATCTCCTCTCGGTCTCAAATCAATTACAAGTATGCATTCATAGCGGCCGTCTACTCACACAATAATAATAAGCACAAGAAATCGATAAACGAAAGATAGACCGGAATGAATAAACAAAATCACTTCATAAAATAATCCGAGTACTCGCAAATCGTAGAATCTCAAAGAGATTTAGCTACTAAACATATTCTCAATACTCAAAATAAATAAATCCATGAGTTCAATGAAGAAGAAAAAGAGAAAAGAAAGAAGAACTATTGTTTCCGTTAGTTCCCGGATCTTCAATCTTGACTTCCTCGAATCCCTCGTGTGTTTCGTGCTTTCCCTAGGCCTCCAATGGTGTCCCCAGTCCCAGAACCGTGTTCTTCATGTCCTTTATATACTGTAGGGCAAATATGGCTTGAAAAAGGGTCAAAATCGCGTAAGTTTCCTATTCCCCGCTGGACTGTCTGCGCGTCACACGGCTCGTGTCACCTGCCACACGAGTCGTGTGACTTTTCTCCAACTTTCTGCCAACTCCCAGACTCACACGACTGGTCACACGACCGGGTCACACGACCCGTGTGAGGTCACACGACCCGTGTCACTTGCCACACGAGTCGTGTGACAAAGCCGAAACAAAATTCCACAAGAGCTCGATTTTTCTCACCCCACACGACTCGTGTCACATACCACACGAGTCGTGTGACCCTGACTGCACCCTATTTTTGCCGTTTTTTCGTCCCGATTCCATCTTTAACGCTTTTTCGGGCATATTTCCTGCAAAACCAACGACAACTATACCTCTATCATAGATTAATAAATCAAACGAAATGGTGCGCAATCCCACAATAAACACGGTCAAACATCACACTATATCACTCATAATGCATGAAAATATGATGAACATCAAACATTCATCTTTATCTTCATTAAATAAGGTTATTATTGTTAAAAAAAATATTCTTAGTTAATGTGCAACTTCTCAAAACGACATATATTAAAAACAGGAGGTAGTATCATATAATTACTTAAAATATAAATATATTAATTGATAAATAATTTTATTTATTTAATTAATATTAAAATTTAATTTTATAATGCATTACAATTCAATAGTCATAATAAGAAATGATATTAAAATGCAATTAATACATGTAAAATGACCATAAATAATCAACAAATTTATGGGTAATTTGAACCTAATTATTTTTGGATTGGAAGTAAATTAAAATTTACCCAAGCCTAATAACGAACCATGTAGTTTTGCCACATAGAATCCCGAAACATGCGAGTCTGCCACTTAGGCTCAACACGTTTTGAATTAATATATAGAATGGATAAGAAGAAAATGAGGATGTGAATAAAATTGAAATCATTTGAAACATTAGGTGTCATTTGAGACAATATCTTAATAATACTTTATTTTAACTTCAACTAAGTTATGGGGACATACAATTAAAATATAACTAAGATATTATCTACTTAAGCAGCTCGAGAATTTGGTTTTACTTATTAACATATTCGAGTTCGACTCATTTATAAAAATATGATATTTTTATGCAATTTTCTGACATATAACCCTACTTTGACCCATTAGTTTTAATGAAACAAACTCTAGCTCGTTTATCAATTTTCGAGTGATGTTCGAACTTAGCTCAATTCATTTACATATATGCCAATAAACATTGGATAAATAAATAAAAAAATTGGAGGTAAAATATTTGAGGTAAATTGTTTTTGAATTATGCTACACGATCAGATGAATTACAATTAGTGTATCGAAAATATTATAATTGATAGTCATCTATTAATATTTTTAATACAATATTATCAAAATAGACTATGAAATTTTTTTTAGAGCATTATTTGATAAACTACTTGGTAAAAGTGTAAAACGACTAAGATAAGTTTATAGAAAAACAATCACGTCGCAATTACCCATTAATTTTGTCATTGTAATATTACTTGTACGTTATTTGATTAACTAGTTAATAAATCATTTTGCAAAGTAGATTAACACAATATAATTTTTCATATAAACTAAAATGACGGATATTAGGTGGTTTATAACACGGTATGTTGTCACATGGAAATTAACAACAACCAAATTGAGATGTATTTGAAGTAAATTTAAATGTTTAGCGACGAAAAGCCTGTGTATTATGTTCAGAAATGTAATTTGTAGCA